TCCTCACCCCTCCCTTCCCCAAGGCCGTGGACATGTGACAGAACCTCAACTGAGCTGAAGATGAACGTCACCTCTTATCTGGACAATGGCTGATGGGGGGCTTTGGACTATGCTACGACTTTCCCTTAAAAATTCAATGTTTTCACCGCCTATATGTAAATGTATAACGTCTGTTTATGTTGCTTTGCTGTGGTAGGTTTTTTTTATGCCTCAAATCATGCCCGGTCTAGGACACGGTGTGAGAGATCTTTTTTTTTTATACCGTCTCTCCTCCTTTTCTTTCCTTTCTCATCTAAGCAAAATATTATTCTGAATAAGAATAAGAAGGCCGCGCTAATTATTTTTAGCTGCAGCTTCGTGCACTCCGCCCATCTTCGGACGACTGTACGTACATATTTGCGTTGTATCTCGGTGCAATGCCAATAAAGTTTATTCCGATTCTGATGTGAAATACCTAGTAAAGAAACTGAAAGTTAAACTGGGTTTCTTTTTCAGAAATAGATCCTGTCTAACTTTGAATGTTAGGAAACACCTTGTAACTGTGACTTTCCTTCCCTCCATTGATTACAGTGACATTATTTACATGAACGCTCCTACAAGAACCCTGCAGATGTTGGATGCTGAAAATGTTGGATGCTGTCTATCATGGTGCACTAAGATTCATAACTGGCTGTGATTATCGTACCCACCACTGCACCCAGTATTCACTGGTTTACTGGACATCATTAACTTCACACAGACTCTCCCACTGGTACATTTTCATCTTTAAATCACTTCTTGGTCTGCTGCCTTCATACATCTCCTCCTACATGTCTCTGGGTGAGTGCAGCTACAGCGTGCGCTCTCAGGACATTATTACCTGCAGTGTTCCCTCAGTGAGGACTGAACTAGACAAAAGGACCTTCTCCTATTTCGCTCCTGTTTCCTGGAATATCTTACAAAAAGATTTGAAGCTCTCGACCTTTGACCTCTCTAAGTGGCTTTAAGAATCTGTTGGACTCCTGGCAGGGACCAATGCAGACATGTTCCTGTTTTTAGTTTTCTACATTCACCTTAGAATCTAGCTGGTTTTGTTACTTTTTTTTAGTCATCTTATTTGCAATAAATAAATAAATAGATAAATAAAATCTGGATGACTTTTTATAACTGTTTATTGTTGTTGCTGTTGTCCATTGTTGTCATCTTTCTTTGTTGAAATCAGGTCTCTCTTGTAAAGGAGTCCTCGAGGCTCAATGGGATTTACCTGTCTAAATAAAAGGTTGAATGAATGAATGAATATGTTCCCAATGTTTTAATGGTCTTTTTGTTGTAAATAATGAATGACGTTGGGTGTTTTTTTTGCAGTTTTATTTTTTATTTATTTATTTTAGATTCCATGACATCATCAACTATTCGAGTTCTACTTGAGTTTTATTATGTTAATGTTGAGTTTTAAAATTATGTAGTCGTTCAACCCCTATGTTGGAGCAATTATTAGAAAATGGAAGAAGCTAAACATGACTGTCAATCTCCCTCGGACTGGGGCTCCATGCAAGATCTCACCTCGTGGCGTATCAATGATCCTAAGAAAGGTGAGGAATCAGCCCAGAACTACATGGGAGGAGCTGGTCAATGACCTGAAGAGAGCTGGCACCACTGTTTCCATGGTTACTGTGGGTAATACACTAAGACGCCATAGTTTAAAATCATGCACGGCACGGAAGGTTCCCCTGCTTAAATCAGCACACGTCCAGGCCCGTCTTAAGTTTGACCATGACCATTTGGATGATCCAGAGGAGTCATGGGAGAAAGTTCTGTGGTCAGATGAGACCAAAATAGAACTTTTTGGTCTTAATTCCACTCGCCGTGTTTGGAGGACGAAAAATGATGAGTACCATCTAGGAATGTGCGATATATACGGTACACAGTAGAAACGATAGAAATTTAGCCTACGATAGAGATCTGTCTTCTACCGGCTAACCGCAGTAATGCTGTTTCTGATGTAAAATCAGAGTTTTCAGTTTAATTGTTACTTTTTTTAGTTGAAAACTGTGCGCAAGTGGCAACAGTCATTTCTTCAAGAGCTAAGTAGCAAAGTTACAAGCTAACTATGGCCGGCTTGTCGTACTGTTGCCGTATTCTGACGCATGCACAAAACGCTGTGTTCCATCAAAATATGTTGGGGTTTTTTTCCCGTCGAAAGTTAAAGTTAAGCGTTGGTCAGCTTTAGAGAAACCTGCTCTCTGATCTGTGAAAAGAACGCTGTGTTGTGTGATTTTACAGCGAGACCCTCTGGTCAAAGCCACAGACTCATTTTGTGTCAGCTCTCCATTAAAGCAGAAGGAGTCGCCCACTAGAGGGTTGGAGGGTGAAGTGTTTTCAGTGTAAAATGCTGCTCTGTTGCTGTTCATTTCTTAAGTGAGAAGACTGGAAACTTAAGTTAAAAGGACACCCTATGCTTTTTTTAAATTCCTATTGTTTTATACCAAAAACATATTGCAATATATATCGTTATTGCCACCCTTCACAATACATATCGTGATATGAATTTTATGCCATAATCGCACATTCCTAGTACCATCCCAAAAACACCATCCCTACTGTGAAGCATGGGGGTGGAAGCATCATGCTTTGGGGGTGTTTTTCTGCACATGGGACAGGACGACTGAACTGTGTTAAGGAGAGGATGAGCAGGGCCATGTATTGTGAGATTTTGGGGAACAACCTCCTTCCCTCAGAGCATTGAAGATGGGTCGTGGCTGGGTCTACCTTTTTTGTGTACCCTTATTGCATGCTTTTAGTATTTCTTGTTTGTTTATTCTTTGATTGATTGATAGCGAGTCAAATCGGTTCTTCTCATCCTAAGCCTTGCATATGGCAAATAAACACAACTTGACTTATTAAGTGTTTTATTTTGAGCACACTTTAAATTATGGTTAATTACTACTATTTATTTATTTATTTATTTAATTTGCCAAAGCTACAAGAGGGGTAAATATTGTGGAAACTTAAATTTGTATAATTTCTCTACGAAGCACATATTGTGACATTTTTATTTAGTATGTTAAGATAAAAAATAATAATGAGTGTTGTAAAATGATCTGATATTCAGATCAGCACATTTTATAATTAAATAAAATTCCAGTATTAAGTTTTGGATAGAAGGGACTTACAAGAATGAATTTGTGTGCTCAATTTTGAAAAATAAACTGGCTTGTAAGGATAAGAGGAACTGTATAAAGTTTGTAGAACATTCATTTCTTGTAAAGAACCTTTCACGTTAATTAGTTTCTGATTTTAATGCTCATAAACCTCTAAAAAAGTTAAATCTGGTCCTCTGGACATTAAAAAAAACCCAAAACAAAGCAAAACAACAAAAAATGTAGAAACGTTTCGTCTCTCATCCAAGAGACTTCCTCAGTCTGAGGTGCTGTATTCAGCTCAGTCTCCTAAATAGCACCTTCTCAGAGTGGATCAACCAGTTTTGCTGCTGACAACCAAAACCAGCTGATCACATGCTCAAGAAGGACCATCAGCCTAACAATGGATCATTAGCACACTGATGGCTGTTTACTGTTCACAGAGGGCTGAGTGATACTAGCAATCACAGCATTGTAAGAGGGGGACAGTTGAACCCGGAGGCCTCCACCCCTGTTTAATGATGGACGGTTTCTTTTCACAAAGATGGCCTCCTTTACTCCTCTCTCAAACCATCGTTCCTCTCTATCCAGGATGTGAACATCTTCATCCCTGAAAGAGTGACCGCTGGCCTGGAGATGAGTGTAGACCGCAGAGTCCTGGCCTGATGATGTTGATCTTCTGTGCTGGGCCATCCTTTTGGCCAGTGGCTGTTTAATTTCCACAATGTAAGACTGATCACCCTCCTGACACTGAACAGCATACACAACATTACTCTGTTTGTGCCGGGGGACTGGATCTTTGGGATGAACCAGTCTTTAATGTATTTTGGGGTTTAAAAGCCACTGGGACGTTATGTTTAGAAAATAAACGTCTCAGTTTCTCTGATACTCCCTCAACATATGGAATGACCACTGGTCTGGGTCTGGGTTCCTCCTTTTCACCTGATGGCTGACTGGAGTCCTGTTTGGGTTTCTTCTCTGCTTTTAGGAAGGCCCAGTTAGGATATCCACATTGCTCTAGAGCCTGTCTTGTGTGGGACAGAGACGAAACGTTTCTACATTTTTTGTTGTTTTGCTTTGTTTTGGGTTTTTTTGAATGTCCAGAGGACCAGATTTAACTTTTTTAGATGTTTCTACCTGGATTATTGAGCATGCATCAGGATATGAATGCTCATAAACATTTTGTTCAGGTATTTTATTTATTTATTTACTGCTGTAAGCCCAAAGTCATCATTTCAAAAAAGTTGAATTGTGATCCAACACCTCAACAATAATAAAGAAGCTGGTCATTTTGTCATGCTGTGTACTTTGGAGCTGTACTGAACTGAGACCCAGACATGTGTATGTGCTCGTCTACAAGCGGAGCAACGTTTGGATGTTTGTTTCTGCTTACTTCCCCTTCAGGTCTGCACAGATGATTGTAAACCAGCCGAGGGAAAGAAAAGTAATAAGGAAAAATGACTATCGTCATTTCAAACCGGTGAAGTTATTTAAAACCAAAATTAAACCTTACAAGAAAAAAAGCGCATTAAAATATGCGGAAACTGACTTGTTAGAAATAGTTCATAAATTATATTGGCTTGTTGCGCTAACTAGCGTTAGCACAACTAGCTAGCGGAAACCCGTCTTTACAGTTTTAATTCATAAATCTACAGGGCGTTTTACACATACGTAGTAAACCTACATTTAGTCATGTTAAGTTACAGCCAACAAGTGCATTTTTCTCCTCTGCAAGTTGACTTTTAGAAAGCTTTTTGGACAACAAGCGCTGGCTGAACGACTAGCTAGCTTCCATAAACAAAATAACAACAAAGGGAGAGCGCTAGCTTCATGCAAGATCCTCAGGAGTCGGAGGCCCCAAAATGTTTCTAACTCACTCACCAAATCCCGTGCGTCTTCCATCAGCCCTTCATATAGAGAGCTTTTAATTTACTTCTTCTGCCCAATGCAAATAAATATCCCACGTTGTGGATGATTGTGGCTGCGGAAAACTGAGATCTAAATAAATACTACTGAGCAGGATATCAACAAATTACTCTGGCGCTTCTGCGCATGTGCGAGCGTAACCTACTTTTATGTGATTGGTCAGTCCCGAATGGAGGTCATCGACAGAAGCAACAACAAAACAGCCAAGTCTGCAAAGGAAGTCATTTATTGGAATATAGGTCAATGTTTTACAGACGAAAAAAACAAACTGTCCTTAACTTATCATAGAGAAAATGTCATATTGTCAATATGAACACAGCCACTAATAATATAACCAATGGCATAACATGTTTTATTTCCAAAATATATATATAATGCTTAATATATAGTATATTATATAGCCCAAAACACTGAAAAAAACAACCTTATCAACTACAAACATGGCCATTTCTGGCAGCCTTTGACATTTTATACAATGTTTTTCCTTTGACTGCTCCTTCTGCAGGGGCGCAGCAGCAAGCACACTTGCATTAAAGATTTAACAACTGTTTTACGTCATAACCCAACCTGGGCTTGAACCTGCAACCTCAGGGTTAACATTTTGTACCACATTATCTGTGGTAAAAACATTTGTTTAATTTTTCCAAATCAAATGTTCGTAACAGTTTTCATGCAAAGCAGAATTGGGTGCAGAACTGCTCAAAAGCAAAACAATGAAGGGAATATTGCTGAAGGAGCTGCGGTGCACGTGGCTCCTCAGTGAGGGTATATGCGGTTGAGTTTCATCATCTGGACTGATGCTGAGGTGTGGATGGTCAGCTCTGTTACACAGGCGGCGGCGAGGTGATCAGTGTCACGGATTCCCTCGCTGCTCACAGCAACAAGCTGTGATGGTTTCATTGCAGCTTATCCGCCATGACATCATCAATACTTCCTGAGATTGATGCAGCTTCTGAGGCCCAAAAAAGTTAAGAAGTAGATCAGCAGGTTGAAAAACTGCACTTTGTTTATCAACAGTACAAGTGTGAAGACGCTGTTCAAGCTAACAATGAAGCTCAGTGAGTTTATGTCTCAGGCTGCAGGATGACTCGGCACGATTTATATTGTTGTGGCTTTGCTTTGGCATCATTTGCTACTAAGGTGCTCATATTGCCTGTGTTTTGGGAGTCGGTTAGCAAAAAAAAATCTCACTAACCATCAGATGGATTTTAATTTAACTGATGTACAACTGATAAACTCTGGGAGTCAGTCCAGTCTAAGATGGCTGTCACAGCTAGGCAACATATACAAACACAAACATGGCTATACCTTCTACTGAGCCAAGACATGATGAGTGGTTGAGTCAATCACAGCGCAGACTCAGTGTCAGATGTAAAATCAGGCATAAAGTTATTTTCGAGGGTTGATCAAAACTTTGTAATTGGTGTGAAAGTTGGCGAGTGATATATATTCCTTTAACAAATGCTAAGGTTGTAATGTGTGCCTGATGTGTTTATGTGAAACACAAACACCTTCTGTTTGAAATGGTGCAACGACATGAGAACTGAATTGCTGGCACACCTTCAGGTGTTTTACACCAGAGCAGTTTGATGGTTTAAAATCTTCAGTACCTTTGCACTCTGTGAAGCCACAAATCATTTCATGTTCGCTCATACTCTGCATCAGTGCAAATAAACTCAACATTTTAACTTTAACACCCAGTGACTAACTGTATCATTGCAAATACCCCTGCTGCATGCTTGTGCTTAAACTCTATTCTTAGTAGATCTACACACTTCCTTTCAGCCACGCATGGTCTCTTGAGTATATTCTGTTTGAACTAACCAAACAGGAAGTGCAGGAGGGAATGTAAAGCAGTGAGCTTTGCCCTAACACATTAGAACGGGTACAGCTGATGCTGTGGGTGTGAAACACATCAGTTATGATTGTGAGACAAACTTTGAGGGCTGTGGATGTGAGAGTTTAAACTAAATAACTAAAACAAAATAGTCTCATTCAATATTAGACCTGAGAGGCTACTCACCTGATAAACTGATACAAGAGAGACTGAGCTCTGAAGAAGCTCCTCTTACATCGTCCTGCAAAACAAGAAATCCAAACTGATGTTTTGAATGGATCTGATTGAAGGTAAAGAAACTGTCAAAAGATCAAGAATAAAATATTGTTAATGCAATGAACAGGCGCAATAACTAGAGACCGATCGATATGTCAGAAGGATCAATATTTTATGCCAATATAGACATTTGAGGACCTATCTATATTTGGGACTGAGATGGGGTAAAGGTAGGGCAGCCGATTGGGGACCAGAAAGTCGCGGTTCGACTCCCAGACATTCCCACATATCGTGGTGTCTCTGAGCAAGACACCGGCGGCTGTGGCTGAGTGGTTAGAGCAGCCGTCCTCCAATGCAAGAGCTGGGGGTTCGAATCCACCAGCAGTCACATGCTGAAGTGTCCCTGGGCAAGACACTGAACCCCTCATAGCCTCTGATGTGTGTCCCATCAGTGCATGAATGTGATAAAGCTCTGATTAATCTCTTTAGAATGATTTGTTCAATTATCTTTGTAGAGATCTAGTATAGAGCTGTTTGAATGGGAAAATGAGGCACAGATTGTTGCAAAGAGCTCTGAGTATCTGGATCAGACAGAAAGGAGCTGTATAAGTACAGTCCATTTACCATTTAATCCCTAATTGCTCCCCGGGAGCTCAGTAGCTGCCCACTGCTCCACCTGGGTGTATCTCAGGTGCGATGGGTTAAATGAACAGAACTAATTTTGTCATTGTATGGGAACATGCAATGATGACAACATATAGAACTTATACATATTGGTATCTGCAATAATTGTCCCATTATGCACGGATATAAAAACTTCTAATTTTCACCCCTAAAATGCTGGAACCAGCCGTAATTGTACAATGTATCCAGCAGAGGGCGCATGAAGAATACTTTCAAGTCATGGCCGTTCACTTTAACTTTCATTTTCAGCACAGCTGAAGCAGGGAGCGATACTGTATATTATATTTTGATGAACAAAGTATGGTAAGTTTATTTTAACTGATCTGTAAATTTAAAAAATCAACAATAATACATTTTCTTCAATCCTCCAACCCGCTTGTCATTAGCTACGTGCCTCTCAGGTTAGCAAGCTAACGTTTAGATAACCTAGCATAGAGGCTATTGTCTTGTAAAATTTATCCAGAACAATAAATCTAATGTAGCGGTAAAATATATCAGCGTTCGCAACGTTATCTTTGTTGTCCTCAATGAAATGCATTGTTTGTCTGAAATCTTTATGAAATGAAATGTTTGGCCTGCTGTTCTAATATACCATTTAACACACCATATTATTTTACATTATTAGTGTTTAGCGTATATCTTAGATCCTTGTATACTGTTTCTTTTATACTTTATATTTTTGCTATTTTGGGGTGTAACTAGAACCTTGGGTACATAATTTCGTTCCACCTCATGTACCACATGTGATGCGAATGACAACAAAGAACCTTGAATTTTAAATCTTTATTTCTCTGCAAAAGGAAAAAAAAAAAAAAACCTCTGCTGGGGTCAATAAAAATTAGACCCTCACCATACGTGTCTGAATGTTTAAACAATGAACAGTGGGGGTGTTTCTTTGTGTAATTTATAGTTTTGTAAAACACTTGATAACTTTATGGTGAATAGTGGAGGAAAGAAAATGTGAACGTACGTTAGGAAGATTGTTTTTATGTCCAGTGCACCACTTGTAAACCTACTGTGGGACTTGTTAAAGGTGGATCTGATTAGCTTAGCTTCATGGTTGCTAACAGCTGTGCTAAATAAACAAGACCTGCTCCACTCACTGTTTACTGAGATTCTTGGAGGTGGACTAAGGTAAAAAAATTTCTGCCGTTACATCAGTTATCAGCATTAGCCTTCCCCTCCCAATATCGGTATCAGCAATAGCCAAAACTTCCATATTGGTCGGGCTCTAGCAATAATATTTATGGAATCATGTTTTAAAAGTCGTCAGTGACAATTTCATGGAGACAGATTTTGTTTAAATACAATTGGATGGCCTTTAGACACATGCAGTTTGATTTAGTTTCCACCACTCTATCAAGATATTTAAGTTTTTTCTGTCGGTGATTGTTTTTTAAGGACCTATGAAATAAGATAAACTAATCAACAGTGGCTCAGATGGTAGAGCTGTCGTCCTGTGGTTCCTTCAGAGTTTGATTTATTGTCCCACACGTTAGTGCCAGACAAACAACATATTTTCTGACACATTTATCCCAGTCACATCAGTGGCAGATAGAAAAATAACAACAGAATACAGCTAAAATCTTAAAGATAAGCTACTAAGTGAAGGCTGGGTTAAGATGATTTCGCTAGACTCAAATAAATCTGCACTTTGAAAAAGTCTAACAACTAAATTAATCTGATGACATAAAGAGAACCTGATATCATCTGTGTGAGGTCTGGTATCTCCACAGATGTGAATAAACAAACTTTTGACATCTGTATAATAGTTTATTTGTAACTAAAACACAACGATAAACGTGCAGTCCTGAGTAAACTGGTGATATTTTAATCTAGTCACAACGCACTGCACTGACTTACCAACATTCTTTGCAGAGAACCAGGATTATCCCCCTCCATCCTTCCATTCAACACTTCCTGGAAGCTGACAGCATGACCCAGTCGTATGAGCTCCTCACCGATGTTCACTGCCTGCGGTGGACAGGTTTGGTGTTACTTTTAATATAAAGTGCACAAAGAAAAAGACTTCCAGATGAAGCAGTCCTACCATTCCATTGCTGTTGTCGTAGAGTTTGACACTAGGCCAGGAGGAGATCTCAGAGTGGGAGTAACTGTAGAGTTTGGCCTGCAGGGGTCTCCAATCAGCGCAATACGTCAGCCTTTCAAAGTCATCCAGGGCTGCCTCGGACCACATGTCTCCTGAAACAGCAGCAAGCCAAGTAAAACATTCTGTCGGGCAAATGCTACAACCAGTTTATTCTCATTTACTCTGCTTTTACCTTTTGGCCTCACTCCTGCTAAGCTGCACTCAATGGCTTGGAACGGTAAGCTGAGGAAGTCGCTCCTGAAATTTAAATGCAGCAAATGCAGAGGATTTTAACTGGTTCTTAACTTGGTGCAACATACAAACATGCAATTTGTGACAATGGTACAAAACTTACATTTACGGAATTTAAAATATCATAGGAGTAGTGTCTCACTGGTTTGCGACCAGTGCTTAATTTGTAAACCAAACAATGCCAGAACGCAAATAGTGGGTGGGGCGGGGTATGGGGGTCCTCCCCCATAATAGTTTTGAATAAAGTAGATGCTGTTTCCTGCATTCTGGTGTATTTTAATGAGTTGTTAAACATCTACATTTACCTAAACCCCCAGGCTCCTCCTCCGGCTGTTCATGGCGGCTGCCTGTGAGCTCCTGCCCCAGTACGACAACCTGGTCGGCTCGGCACTCACCCCCACCACTCGCACCTGCTCCAGTATCTCCATTAAAACTGCCTTCATGTGCTTCAATTCTCAGTTGTTTAGTTGTACAATGAGAAGACTTTTTGTAAATGAAAATAAACTGCACAGTCTTTTCGACATTTTGATCACAGTTATTTTGACAAATTGGCGCCGTTGTTTTGAAACATGATGTACGTAACGTGACTACCATCAAACATTTCTTTCGTATTTTTAATATACATCCATCCATCATCTTTACCCGCTTCTTCCTTTTCGGGTCATGGGGGTCACTGGTGCCCACATCCAGCAGTCAATGTGTGAGAGACGGGGTACACCCTGGACAGGTCTCCAGTCCATCACAGGGACACAGAGACAAACGAGACAAACAACCATTCACTCTCTCATTCTCACCTAGAGACAATTTAGAGTTACCAATCAGTCTAACATGCATGTTTTTGGTCTGTGGGAGGAAACCGGAGTAACTGGAGAAAACCCACGCATGCACGGAGAGAACATGTCGTGCAGCCACATCTTTATGAAAATCATGATTTATTTTCATGTGTGCATCTTGCAAATCTATATTATAAGCCATGTACATTTTATCACCTCACCCGAGCAGTTGACCACAAATTATTGTTTTTTTTATGATTTAATCTGCTTAAGTACATTTGGTGAAATGAGGACCGGCAGAGTTTTTAATTATTATTTATCATTAAGTGGATTTTAGACGGGCAGCACGGTGTTGCAACTGGTAGAGCTGCTGCCTCTCAGCGAGCAGGTCCCTGGTTCAAATCCCAGCTGGGGACCTTTCTGGGGAGAGTTTGCATGTTCTCTCCGTGCATGTGTGGGTTTTCTCCAGGTACTCCAGTTTCCTCCCACAGACCAAAAACATGCATGTTAGACTGAATGGTAACTCTAAAATTGTCTCTAGGTGAGAGTGAGAGAGTGAATGTTTGTTTGTCTCTATGTGGCCCTGTGATGGACTGGAGACCTGTCCAGGGTGTACCCCGCCCCTCACACAGTGATTGCTGGACATGGGCACCGGCGACCCCCGTGACCCAAAATGGAAGAAGCGGGTAAAAGATAATGGATGGATGGATTTTAGACCTGGAAATTTGCCCAAGATGTTTCCTGTCAGAGAAGAGCTTCCATGCAGATATGATGAAAATGCTGTGTGAACAATTGCAACAAAACTGAGACAAGTTTGAGACACTTTCAATGACTTTGTGACTCTTTTGAGAATGATATACATTTTAGATGCAATCTTTCAAGGAATGCTGTGTCGTTATTTATTCACTTTTTTTTCCTCCTACAAATAAGTCCAACACTTCAATGTGAGGTCGCTCACCTTAAGCGCCGCAGGCTGGCTCGAGACAGCTCCCCGTTATCACCGAAGTCTACATAGTACAGGTCCACTAGATCAGAGCCCAGGACTCCCAGCACCTTGGCCCTGTTCCATGTGCCATGGTCTCTGTACGGAGCTGCCACGATGTCTCCAACAACAATAGTCTTAACTTGCTGCTCCTACAGACCCACAACATGAACTGTGTTAATAAATGATCAACACAGGGAGGATATGTAAACCTGTGAATACACAGTGAAGAGGTGCTGAAAAACAAGAACCATGATGATGGGATCATCTGAGCCACACAGAACCTATTTATGTACGGAGGTCACGTAAACCTGACAATGTTAACAGGTAACAGCTAGTCAGTTTTAAACTATTAGGACAACAGAAAACCATTGGGCCCTTAACATAGGTGTAACTGCAAAGCAGAATTATTCAGTGAGCCTGCTGAGCTGAAACTGACTTTTATTTGAACGTCTCACACCGACCATGTTAACATGCACTGAGCTCCAACTGCTCCCAAATTATGTTCACAGTTTGAAACGCAATTTCCTGCACAAACATTCACTCTTTATGTTCAGTGTAAATAAAAATCAGACTGAAAGAGCACACATTCAGTCTAAACTAAAAGACACAATCTTTCAAGGATTTTATGTATAAAGCCATAAAAATGATGTGGCCTATAATAGACTCAAACTGATACTCATTCCACAGTGTTATGATTTAATAATAATCAAAAAGCAAGGCCAAAAGTGGAAAACTGAAAAACCAAGTCCACTTTATGTTATAACAGCTTCTAAAACCACATTAAGCAGGAACAACTCCTAGTAGGAGTATTCCAAAAGACTTCATCAGTGTCTCACATGGTTGAAGCATTCTGGCCCACTCTTCTTTCCAACACTGGCTCGGTTCATTCAGGTTTGCAGACATTAGATTCAGCTCAGCTCTCTGAAGGTCCCACTACACCATTTTGATCAGGTTGACTTCTGGACTTTGACTGGATCATTTCAAACACCAACTCTTTTTTCTTTTTAAGCTGTTATGATGTAGATTTGTTGCTGTGTTTGGGATTATTGTCAGGGGACTTTTGGTCAAGGTTTATCCATGTTTCTTAACTAGTATGGCTGAGAATGTTAACTGCCCAGGAACCATGTGTTAGAGTTACCAGAGAGTTGTTTTGTCTGTCAGAGGGAGCTGATTTGATCCTGCATGTACAGCTGTGTGGCTGAGGTCATCAGTGTCTGCCTCTGAGCCGAGAGCTGATAAGATTATAAAAACAATTCTCGCACACTGCCCGGTGCAGATTCTTGTGACTTGGCTCCATGATGTAGAACTTCTATACATCTGTGTAACCCATGATGAACATCTGTCCTTGCAAGTAAAACCAGTTAAAAATCTTCTTCTGTCTTCGAGTTTGACTTCTTTGATGTAAGTAAGATGAATAGAGCATGTTTTTATCCAACAATTAGTTCTGTTGCATCATGACCCAGTTTGGTCCGAGCTTCTACTGTCACACAGACGACCTCACATTAGACTCTAGAATCACTGGTCTGCAGAGGAGTTCATGGTCGACTCAATAACTGCATGACGCTCAAGCCCTGTGGCTGCAGAATAAACCCAAACTACCTTCTACCAGTGTGTTATGAGATGTTTGTCTTGATAAGTTGTGTTTGGTGCTGTGTATCGTGGGTAAACATCTTCATTTTGGTCTCATCTGTCCAAAGGACATTGCTTCAGAAGTGTTAGGTTTCATTCAGATGAAACTTTACAAACCCAATCCATGCTGCCATGTTTTTTTTGGGGGGGTTGGTTTATATGGAAGCAATAAGGGTACACTTAGCTTTTCCAACAACTGCTCCTGAGTTAATTTTTTCAAATAAATAAGTCAAATGTATTATCTGGTGTTTCTACTCCATGTTAAGACCTGTCAGTCTGTTCTGACACATTAAACCATAAAAGTCAAAAATCAGTACAGTACTTTCTTTATCTTGACTCTTTGCATGAAGTCCTTGGCTCCGTAGTGTATCTTGTAGAGCAACATGATTCATGTTCTAAGAGTACATGCTCTTACTGTGGAGAATCCATCACTGTAGAAGCTGTTCATCTCCTCTGTCAGCTTGTCCAGCTGGAGGGAGCGAACACCCAGAATCTGGATCCAGAAGTGGTTTGGGTTCTCCGATGCAGAAACGTAAACCTCTAAGTGCTCGTCAGGCTGGAAGCTCAGGTCCGGGCTAGGAACTGCAGCAGACAGACAAGACCAGAAGGGCACTCTACGATGCACTATGAGAGAGCTGCAAATTAACAAAAGAGTGAACTAACTTTCAAACTTGGACACTTCAGAGAGTGACTCTGAAATAAAACTCTCCTCCTCCTCCTCCTCCTGGTCATCTGGCACTTTTAGCTTCTCCATTTTGGTATCTCCTGTGGTTCCATTAGGGTGGACAAATTTGTTCCTATCCGTGTAGGAGACTGGGTCATTGTTATTCAAACCCAGTGCTGATTCAGTCTTCAGCTTTTGACTCATAGCTGTCTGGTGACGTTTCTGGCGGAGGGCAGACGACTGGGAGATTTTTGTTCTCACCGTCATGTCCTCTTTGACTTTTTGTAGAATCATCTCCTGTAAAACCACAACAACATGAGTCACGTTAATTCTAAGAAAAATATCTTGTAAACATAGAAAGAATGCAGACGGAGACTTTAGCTTCACCTTGGCCTGCTTCACTTCCTGTCTGGTCCCTGTGATTGACACCTCACCGTGTACCGCTGGGCTCTGAGTGTTCTCTTTGGAACAGGCCACTCTGGCTCCGGTTGTTCTAGTGATGAACTTTAAACTCTCCCCACCACGCCCTGCAACACATTATACATACATCCACATCTAGTCATATCCACTGTTCATCAGAATTGATCTGTGGTAATATCATGTTGACATTTTGGTCATGTTGAGAAATCCTGCAGCATGAACACAGCAACTTTAAAATGTCACCTATAACTTATTATCTTATCTATCATCTTCCACTTGTTCTGAAGTCACAGGAGCAGCAGCTTGAGCAGGGAGGTCCAGACATCGCTTTCCACAGCCTCCTCTTCAAGCTCTTCTGGGAGGACCCCAAGGTGTTCCCAGGGCACGCTGGAGAGACATAGTCTCTCCAGCGTGCCCTGGGTCTTCCCTGGGGTCTCCTCACAGTTGGACATGCCCAAAATACTTCCCTAGGGAGGTGCTCAGGGAGCATCCTTACCAAATGCCTGAACCACCTCAACTGGCTCCTCTCGATGTGGAGGAGCAGCGATTCTACTCCGAGTCTCTCCTGATAACTGAACTTCTCACTCTATCTATCATTAAGGGAGAGTCCAGCTACCCTGCAGAGGAAACTCATTTCAACCTTCCTGTATCCACAATCTCATTCTTTTGGCCTCTACCCAAAGTTCATGACCAGAGGTGAGGGGAGGAACATAGACTGACCGGTAAACAGAGCTTTGCCTTAAAGCTCAGCTCTCTCTTCACCACAACAGACCGGTACAGAGTCCACGATACTGCAGATGCTGCACCAGTCCGTTTGTTAATTTCGCGCTCCATTCTTCCCTCACTCGTGAACAAAACCCAGAGATACTCGAACTCCTCTATTTGAGGCAGAACCTCACCCTTGACCTGAAGAGAGTAATGCACCCTTTTCTAACTGAGGACCATGGCCTCAGACTTGGAGGTGCTGATTCTCATTCCAGCTGCTTCACACTCAGCTGTGAACTGCTCCAGTGAGAGCTGAAGGTCACGGCACGATGATGCCAGGCCCACATCATCTGCAAAGAGCAGAAATGGAATCCTGAGGCCACCGAACCAGACTCATGTCTAAAATATCGGTCCAGAGTTCAACATTTTAGAATGTCAAAAATAACTGGTGGAAACAGTTTTTTTAAACCATCTTTTGCTACGTGATAGAATCTGAACATTTTAACATTTCAATCGTGTTTCTGGACAGTGATGTTGGCTTGTACATGATACAAGCAATAAACAGGAAGTACAGTTGCACATGAAACAAGTGGGATGTCAATGTCTCCCATCGCCGAAGGATTTGAATAGTGAATTTATTCATTCATTCAACCTTTATTTATACAGGTTAATCCCACTGAGCCTCGAGGACTCATGTACAAGAGAGACCTGAATTTTAACAGAGTGATGACAACAGTGGACAACAACGGCAACAATAGACAATCATAAAAGATGCGTACAAATTAAAAAAAAGACTTCTCTTCACGATTTGAAGTCATGGACTCACATTCCTCCATCCTCCACACCACCCCATACCATACCATACCAATTTATTTATATAGCACTTTAAACAGTGTCAAAGCACACCAAAGTGCTGTACAGGGACAAACAGAACAAGCACACAGCAACAGATTACATAACAGGACACCAAAAACGTAGAAACCAACAAAAACAGTAATGGATAACAACAACTGCAACATGACCAACACAGTGTGATGCACACAGACTCAGCACAGATCACACAGTGCTGAAAGCCAGGGAATAAAAGTGTGTTTTTAAGCGAGATTTAAAAACTGTGAGGGAGGGGGCCTGTCTAACGAGCAGAGGTAACTCATTCCAAAGTCTTGGGCCTGCTACAGAGAAGGCCCTGTCACCTCTGTGCTTGAGAAGGGTTCCTGGGGCTGTTAGGAGCAACTGGTCTGCTGATCTGAGAGAACGTGGTGGGACATACGGCTGGAGTAGATCAGTAAGATAGGAGGGGGCAGAGCTGTTTAGTGATTTATAGACATACAAGAGTATTTTGAATTTGATTCGAAAGTGAACCGGAAGCCAGTGTAGGGAGGCCAAAACAGGAGTAATATGCTCTCTTTTGCTTGTGCTGGTCAAAAACCGGGCTGCTGCATTTTGGACCAGTTGGAGTCTAGCTATGGAGGTCTGACTGATACCAAAAAGGAGTGAGTTGCAATAGTCGAGCCTGGATGTAATGAATGCATGAATTACTGTCTCCAGGTTATTTCTGGACAAAATGGGCTTCAGCTTAGACAGTCGCCTCAGCTGGAAAAAGCAGGATTTAACAATCATATTTACATGATTGTTGAGTTTCAGAGAAGGGTCAAGTATCACTCCTAAATTAGTGACTCTTTGTTTCACTAACGGTGACAGAATGGATAGGTCGATGCAGTGGTTGGTGATTGTGTCATTGGGAGGAAACAGCATAACTTCAGATTTCTTCTTGTTGAAACTCAAGAAATTTAAAGCCATCCAATCTCTGATGTCAGCCAGGCAGTCCAGTAACGGTTGAATAGAGCGAGTACCGTTGAGTCTGAGGGGGAAGTAGATTTGGCAGTCGTCGGCGTAGAAATGAAAAGGTATGTTATGTTTCCTGAAAATAGCACCTAGTGGCAGCAGGTATAAAGAAAATAAAAGAGGACCAAGGATGGAACCTTGCGGTACCCCCCATTTAAGCGCTGCCGAGGCTGAACTAAAATCTTTGATGGAGACACAAAAGGACCTGTCAGCGAGGTAAGATCTAAACCATTCGAGGGCTGACCCAGTGATGCCCACCCACTGCTCTAACCTCGCAATGAGGATCTCGTGGTCGATTGTATCAAAGGCAGATGTGAGGTCCAGTAAGAGAAGGAGCACAGAATCACCAGCGTCTGTGAATAGGAGAATGTCGTTAAAAACCTTGAGAAGAGCAGTTTCAGTGCTGTGGAGAGGTTTAAAGCCAGACTGGAATAGCTCTAAGATGGCATTATCCTCTAGAAAGCATTTCAGCTGGGACTCCACTATTTTTTCCAGTAGTTTAGCGACAAATGGGAGTCTGGAGACAGGCCGGAAGTTGGACATGACTGAGGGGTCAAGGAAAGGTTTTTTCAGGAGAGGTTGGACAGCAGCATGTTTGAAAGTTATTGGCACCACACCTGAGGCTAAGCTGCTGTTCACAATGCCAAGAACAGGAGGGCCCAGAACAGGAAGAAGCTCCTTCAGGAGTCGAGGGGGGGCAACGTCAAAAGGGGAGCCAGATGGCTTCATGCCGCACATGACCTGCTCCAGGGAAGACAGAGAGATGGGCTCGAAGTGGTCAAGAACAGCAACACAATGAGATGGGATGGACGGATCATGAGCAGGTGGAGAAATGAGTGCCCGGGTGTTTGCAACTTTTTCAGAAAAGAAATGGAGGAAGTGGAGTGGAGGAACCCCCAGCTCAACTGGTTTAACGACTGGTTTAACGACTTTGGACTGCCCTCGACAACCCCCTGCTATCTCTGTACAAGAGGATGAAGTAAGGAGGCTTTTTAAAAGGCTGAATAACATAAGGCTGCAGGCCCAGACCTTGTGTCACCCTCCACGCTGAGACATTGTGCTGGAGAGTTGGCTTCGGTCTTCACAGGGATCTTCAACTCTTCTCTGGAGTCATGCCACGTCCCAGCCTGTTTCAAGTCCTCCATCATCGTCCCTGTCCCCAAGAAGCCACGTGTCACAAGACTAAATGAGTACAGACCTGTAGCTCTCACGTCTGTAGTTATGAAAATCTTTGAACGCTTGGTTTCATCTCACCTCAAGTCCATCACCAACCCCCTCCTGGACCCCCTGCAGTTTGCCTACAGGGCCAACAGGTCTGTAGATGATGCAATAAACCTGGCTCTTCACTTCATCCTACAGCACCTGGACTCCCCAGGAACCCACGCCAGGATCCTGTTCGTGGATTTCAGCTCTGTATTTAACACCATCCTCCCTGCTCTGCTCCAAGACAAGCTCTCCCTTCTCCATGTACCTGACTCCACCTGCAGGTGGATAACAGACTTCCTGACAGACCGGAGTCAGTGCGTGCGACTGGGGAGAGCTGTCTCGGACACTCGGACTGTAAGCACAGGATCTCCACAGGGCTGTGTGCTTTCCCCCTGCTTTTCTCCCTCTACACCAACTGCTGCGCCTCCAGCCATGACTCTGTGAAACTTATAAAGTTTGCAGATGACACCACCCTCATCGGGCTCATCTCGGACGGTGATGAGTCTGCATACAGGAGGGAGGTGGACCGGCTGGTGACCTGGTGCAGCAGCAACAACCTGGAACTCAATGCCCGGAAGACAGTGGAGATGATTGTGGATTTCAGGAAAGCCACAGCCCCTCTGCCACCCCCCCCCCCCCCCCTCACCTGTAATGATACCCCCATCACCACTGCAAACTCTTATCGGTTCCTCGGCACCACCATCACCCAGGACCTCAAGTGGGAGCCGACCATCAGCTCCCTCATCAAGAAGGCCCAGCAGAGACTGTACTTCCTGCGACAGCTGAAGAAGGCCAAGCTGCCGGCCAAGCTGATGGTGCAGTTCTACACGGCCATCATCGAGTCCATCCTCAGCTCCTCCATCACGGTGTGGTACACCGGGGCCACTGCCAGGGACAGAATCAGACTGCAGCGCGTTGTGCGCTCAGCTGAGAAGGTGATCGGCTGCAGCCTTCCATCCCTCCACGACCTGTACGTCTCCAGGACTGTGAGGCGAGCAGGTCAGATCACAGCTGACTCTGCTCACCCTGCACACGGTCTGTTCGATCCACTCCCCTCAGGCAGGAGGCTTCGGTCCATTCGGACCAGAACCTCCCGCTATAAGAACAGTTTCTTCCCCTCTGCTGTTGGACTCCTGAACACTCATAATGCTACCTCATAATTTCTGCTTTGGTCACATTACATCTGTATTATAATTGAATACACCATCTGTACTGTTTTCTAAGCTTTGTTATTGTTTTCTATTGTATGGGTGTACACATGTTTATGTAATGTTTTCATTTTTACTTTATTTATGGGTGTACACATGTTTTATGTTTTATGTTATGTTTTCATTTTTACTTTATCTTACTT